GAGTTCGATCCTCAGCACCACATACAAAGATGTTGTGTCTGCCGAAAACTAAAAAATAAATATTAAAAATTCTCTCTTAAATAATAATAATAATAATAGTGGCTGGTATACAGAAAGGACTTGAATCTATACAGTATGTGATCTCCTTGGACAAATGACTTTCCCTCTCTGTGCCTCAGTTTCCTCATCTGGGGGACAATAGTATCAGTGACACAGAAGGTTGCTGTGAGGAGTAAATGATTTAACAGGACCAAAGAGCCTAGCAGGGGGTTGGGCATGAGTGACAGCTAGCTACTGTCATTTTTGTTGATATTATTATTATCAGCCACCCACTTCCAGCTCAGCTGTGCTGAATGCCAAGGAGATGAGAGGGCAAGTAGACAAGAGCAATGGCAGAAAGCCCGGCAGGGGGCTCAGCCCTTCAGCATAAGCACCAGCACGTCCAGGCAGGTCTGTTTTCTTACAGCTGTGGACACACACGTGTGTGAACACGTCCCTAGGAGAGGCATGTGGGGTGAGGGAGGCTCAGGGCAGACTCCAGTCAGTGGCCCCAGCTCAATGGGAGGACCCAGCAGGGAAGCTGACGAACCAGCGGGTAGACTATGGACTGCATTCCCAGCCCCAGGTGAGGCTCCAGCTTCACATCTGTGCCTCCTCTGACCCTCCCTCCCTGAACCTGCCCAGCCAGCCCTTCTGATTCACCAGAGGAGAACCCCACCCAAGCTGGGGGTGAGGGTGGAGAATGTAAATAAGAGTCTGCAGGAGCTTCTTGGGGAGTTGCAGGGCAACAGGAGACCAGGTGGGTCCCCGGCTGGGATAAGGATTCCTGAGCATTTGGGGTTGGAACAGCCCTTGGAGAATCTGATGAAAGCTGGAAAGCTCAGTGCAGTCCCCAGGGTAGGGGAGGTTCATGACCCCTTAAGGGAGTCACAGAACCCAGACTAAAACATTTGGGGAAGAAAGTGCACTCTCTCTCTTCCAGTGTTCTTCAGATTTGGGAGGTCACAGATTCCCCTGGAGGATTCAACAGAAATCATAGAACCTTGCTGCAAAATTATGTGTGCACATATAACCATACAATTTCAGGAGTTGCTGAGCCCCATGAAGTCAGTCATTGTTGACCCCAGATCTAGAGACAAAGGAGGAAGGGGAAAGGAAAAAATACGGAGTGGGGATGCCCAGAGTGGGTTAGTAACTTGGCATCAGAGGAAGATCAGTGGATAGAAGAGGTGCCTGGAGATGAAGTTGCTGACAGGTAGAGAATGTCCCAAGCAAAGACTGAGGGATGTGGCTCAGGAGCAGAATGGATCCCACTCACCCCAGACCTATCCTCAGGATCGCTGGTACCTGCGCCCCCAGCCACCAAGTCATCCTCAGATTCGTCGAAAGAAGAGGCAGAGGARAAGCCACCACTGCCCCCCTCAATTCGGGAGGAGGGTCCCATAGGCTGAGCTTCAGGTTCAGGGGTTTCAGGGGTGATGATGAGGCGGGGCACAGGGCACAGGGAGCTACACTCCAAGTGAGGGTACAGGTGAGTCACCAACTCCCCAGGTTCTGGTTCCTCTAATGAGTCATGTTGGTTGGATTCCCCCAAAAGACATTCTGCTCCAGGTACTGTTTGGAGACCATCTGTGCAAGGCTGTGTCCAGGCTGATTCAGTAGTCTGTGGCTCTGTCCAGGAGCMTTCGGTATCCTCTGGTGCTCTGAATTGTACATCAGTGTACAATTCTTTCCAAGAGCCATCAGCACTTGGTTCTATTGAGGGACAGGTTCCCTCTGAGTGAGTCCGGAGGTTGGACCTGCTCTTATGGGTCCAGAGGTTATCAGCCCAGGGCTTGACCCTCTCTGGCTGGGTCTGCCATCCAAGTATTTCTAGCTCTGTCCAGGGCTTATCATCCTTTGGCTGTGTCCAGAGGCTGGCCCTCTCTGGCTGAGACTGGAGGTCGGATCTGTGAGGATCAGTCCAAAAGCCATCTGTCTCCCTCCAGGGACCGGCGGTCTCCAGCCTTGACCAATGGCTCCTCCTTTCTGGATGTGTCCGGCAGCCCGACCGGTCTGGCTCCGTGTTTTGGCTGGGCCTTTCGGTCTCTGCTCCTAGGCCAGCTGTTTCAGGCTCAGCCTGTCCGTCTGTCCAGGATTTTGTCTGCGGGCCATCTGTCCCTAGTTCAGGCACAAGGCCCATTCTGTCGGGCTCGGGGTGTAGGCTGGACCCCTCAGTCCAGGCCCCGGGTCCGCCCCCCTCCGGCCGTCCCGCCGGGCCTCCAGCACCCGGCCCCGGTCGCTGTTGTCCCGGCTGCCGCCGCCGCCCCCCTCGCGGCGCCTCCAACCCCATGCGGGCCGCCGCGGGCAGCGCCCCGGCCTCCGCCTCGTTCAGGCTTCCCCTACACGGGCAGCGCCTCATGCCCGCTCCCTGGATTGGGGCTCCGGCCGGCCGGGCACCTCCTTCCCCTTTAAATCCTACGAGGGGTGTGGCTGGGGAGCCCCGACTCGCGGTTCCGGCCCACAGAGCTCCGGCGTGCCCCGCCACGCAGGGGTTAACCGATACTCCACCTCCAGGGAAAAGCCCCTAAGGCCCGCCCACAGGACGTGACGTAAATGGGAGAGGTCTTTTGTGGCCCCGCCCATCTACATCAGAGAAGGTTGTCTCCAAGTGCTGGACGCGAGACTAAGTCAGGTCTGCACCGCTACTGTCTGGTTGTACTCCTGTGGGTCCCCACCTCAGCCCCCGTGACCAACCCAGTCTCCCTATACCAGGTGACCCGTGGACGAATCCGATCGCACGTGCATTCTTCATGCACAAGCAGGACGGACTTTTCAAAAACTTGGGGATTTCACAGACGTGGGTTCGAGACCCGCCTCCGTGACTTAAACGCTCCATTGAATTTTCCGTAAGAAATCTCACGCATAAAAAGCACTTGTTCTGTACCAGGCCCTGACACTCTTTCACTGCTTTTCTCTGTCGCTAAAACTAAGCAGGAAGGGATGCCCAGTTGACAAATGAGGAAGCTGAGGCTCAGAGTTCTGCCAGTTTCTAGTCTTTTTTAGCCCCAGAGCTATTTGGTATGACCTCATGTACGTGAAGTATGTGGTGTCAGACTTGGCACTGTCAGCCACAGCCCTGTCGGGTTAGTTGTCATTGGTGTTTTTTACGTAGTTTGCCCCCAAAGGTGAACTGCCCCCAGTTCCTGAGTCAGATCCTCACTATTAGAGGGGGACAGGAGGTAGTTTCAATCTTGAAATTGAGTCACCCTGGGGAGGAACAATGGGCATAGACCCAAGGCTCTAGAATGAGTCATCTCTTTACAGACCAATGAAAAGTCAGAGGCAGCATCCCACCTGGTACATGATACACGTTGGGGAATTGAGGTCCAGAGCGGGAGCAGGGTTCTTCTGAGGTCACACAGCAGAGGGGATAGAGACAGGGAGGCCTGATTCCCGACAAAGACGGTTGGATGGGAGAGCCGATTGCTGTGGGAGACACATCGGCATTCCCCCTTCTCCCAGTGGGAGATGCCCCCGCCAGCTGTTTCTATTCCAGACAGTGAGAAGAGGGGTGAGTCAGCCCCCAGCACACGCGCTCGCGCACACACACACACACACACACACACACACACACGCAGATGGACTGGGAGCTGATTTTCTGGGACGCCAAGTTTCCTGACTCAGCACTGGGAATCTTGGCTGAGTGTGTTCTGGGAAATGTCAGGCCTACAGGAAACAGAGGACTCCCACTCGAGCCATCCCGCGGGTGGGTGGGGAGCAGAGAGAGCAGGGTGTGTGAGGGAACAGAGGCTCAGTGTGCAAGTGAGGGGGTTTATGTACACGGCAGAATTGAGGTTGTGAGTCGGAGACATTTGGCGAGCAAGGCAGAGGATTTATAAGCTCACGGAAGGAGGATGGGTGCCAGGATGTGGGTGTTTGTGCAAAGTGGAGGGGCTCTATGTACAGGAAAATGTTTGCTTGGTAGAAATGCCTTTCAAAGGAGAGACGTTGAGCCTGCCAGGAGGAAAAATAAGAAGGGAGGTTGGCAAGATGTTCCAGCAAAGAGGCGTGACGTCTGTAAGGAAAAGTGATGTTTCCAAGAAAGACAGTATAGGGAACTGAAAGGTCCGCCGCTTATAAGGCACTTTTAAGTGGGTGGAAAGGTAAAAGGGCTGGTGAGCGCCCAACAGCGCCCTGCAATCCCCGTTAGCCCAGCGCCTGGGTCCCGCCCCTAGCCCCGCCTCCTGCGCACCGMGGGATGCGCTTCGTGCCTGTCAGCAATTCACTGTTTCGCCATTGGCTAACTGACCGGAGGGGGCGGGCGTGCAGATGTTCCCGGAAGCAGAGCAGGCCYCATGCGTCTCGGGCCTGGAACTGAACCGTTGGTGCTTAGCAACTGGGGGAGGTGCCCAGTAACGCGGTGGGGGGACTCGGGAGGAATTGTGGGTGCCTAGCAACAGAGGGTAAGGTGGTGCCTAGCAACGAGGGGCTCAGAAAGGTAGAGAGGTAGCCCTGGAGGATCTGTGGGTGTCTAGCAACGGGGGAGGACCCTAGCAACAGCGGGGGTGGGAAGGCACCAGGGGAGAACTTTGGGTTCCTGCCAACCAGCGGGGGTAACCAGGAGAAACTGTGGGCATCTATTAGCAAAGGAGGAGGTCTTTGGTAGATGGCAGTCTTAGAGAAGGTGGACACGGGAATGTGGGGGGCCCTGCAAAGAAGGGCAAAGCCAAGAGGCCAGTCCAAGAACTCTTATATATAATCCATCCTCTTGATCTGAGTTCAAAGCCAGCCTCAGCAACTTACCGAGGCCCTAAGCAATTCAGTGAGACCCTGTCTCTAAATAAAATACAAAAAAGGGCTGGGGGTGTGGCTCAGTGGTTAAGTGCTCCTGGATTCAATCCCTGGTACCAATAATAATAATAATAATAATAATCCCTCCTCTTGTCTCTTAGGCAATGTGGCTAGAGGTGGTTGGTGTACTGCATGGGACCTGTGGACAACTGGGCCGGACTGTTGGTCTGCCTTGTTGGGGCCGGGTGCCTAGGCCCCACTGGTGGGTAAGAGACTGGAGAGATGGTCCCCARGGGGAGGGGGCCTGAGGAGGGTTCAAGAGGTAAAAGAACAGGGAGGAGGACTGAGGGTGGCTCAGTGGTAGAGTGCTTGCCTAGCATGCATGAAGCCCTAGGTTCGATCCCCAGCACTCCAAAAAAGTAAAAACAAAACAGGGAAGGGACCCAAAGGTCCAGGCAGACCCTATGTCCTCCACTTCTTACCAAAGTCCACATCTCTTGCAGGGACCATGTAGGGGTTCTTGGGCCCAAAAGTTTCATCAGGATGGGCCTGGAAGAGGCCTGCGCGAGGAGGATATTCGCAGRGCACGGGAGGCCCGTCTCAGAAAGACACCCCGGCCCCAGGTACCATTGCCCCTCATCCTGTAACACCCATGAAGGCTGCTGGCTCCCTGATCTTGAGGACATGGTTGGTGGCAGGTTGGGTGGACTCCCCCAGCTCTGCGGCCACCTTCTCACCCTCAGACCTTTTCTCCATTTCCCAGCTGAGCAATCGCTCTCAAGAACGCAAGGTACCTGTCTCCCGCATCAGTCGACTGGCGAGCTTTGGGGGTAGGTGTGACTTTTGGGGATCTGGATATGACTTAGATCAGAAGAATGAAGAAAGGGAAAGATGAATCAGAAATGAAGAGGACAGAGAGACAGGGAAAGAATGACAAAGACCAAGGCCTGCAAGCCAAGAGAAATAGAGGAATGTAAATGATGGTAATATTTATTGAGAACCTTTAATRTACAAGGTCCCCTACACAGTGAACTCCTGTACTGAGTTGATGAGTAATTTATTTCCATTCCATAGATGAGGAAATAGCAGCTAAGAGAGGAGATTGCCTTGACTCTGGGTCATGCTACAGGGTTGTTCAAACCTGCACAAAATAATTTAGTGGGTTGCAACTAACATTCTTTAAAAAGAATAAAGCCAGGCGTGGTGGTTCATGCCTTTAGTCCCAGCTAATTGGGAGGCTGAGGTGGGAGGATCACTTCTCTCTCTCTTTCTCTCCCTCTCCCTCTCTCTCTCTCTCTCTCTCTCTCTCTCTCTCTCTCTCTCTCTCACACACACACACACACACACACACACACACACACACACAAGTAAAGGCCAGGTGAGGTTACACACACTGTAATCCCAGCAATTTGGGAATCTGGAGCAGGAGGATCACAATTTTAAGGCTAGCCTCAGCAATTTAGCAAGATCCTGTCTTAAAATACAAAATAAAAAGGGCTGGGGGTAGAGCTCAGTGGTAGAGCGTCCCTGTGTTCAATTCCCAGTACTGGGAGAAAAAAAAAATTCAGTTGAAAAAGGCAGTCTAGTGCACTGATTAGAGTTTTGGCACCAGGCTACCGACGGTTCCAAGGGTGACTCTTCTGCATCCTCACCTTGTCACTTTGGGCAAGTTACTTAACTTCTCTGAGCTTCAATTCCCTTTTCTGTAAAACAGAAGTTTTTCTGTAAAACATTTTTCCAGAGGTGAGAGGATGAAATGATTTAATGCATATGAGGCACTGAAAACAGTACTTGGTGTGTAGCAAGCACTCAGAAAATGCCAGCCGCAATGATTTACAGTAATGGTGACAGTTAAAGAGGCACAGAGATTCAAGATGTCATGTAGATAAGGAGAGGAAGCAGAACAAATCAGAGCTGGAGAGAGAACATGAAAGGGAGGAACAGAGAAGAGACCTAGAAAGGTGTGGAGGAAGGGGTAGAGATGGAGAAATAACTGCCACAGTAAAGGGGAGACAAACGTGAAGAGGTGTGGGCGATGAAACAGGAGTCGCCTCATTCCAGGGCATTCTTAACCCTAGGTGAACACTAGAATCAGCTGGGGTGCTTAAAAAACTGCAAATTCCCAGGCCGCATCTCAGACCAGTTTAATCAGAATCTCAGGGGTAGGTAAATCTGGGCCTCCAATGTACAAAAACCCTGCAGATGACTCTGATGTGCAGTCAGGGCTCCCAGTTGCTAGGAGGGAGGTAGAGACTTGGCAGAGAAGGATAAAAGAAAGGGAGAGCATCACCTAGAAGGCATACCCGAGCAAAGAGAGAGTCAGAACCTCAGTTGGAAACAGAGATGCAGAGAGCTCAATAAAGGGTCGGGAGACAAGCATTCAAGAGAGACCTRGAGCAGAGAGGGAGGGGAGGCCTCAGGTAAGCAGGCACTATGGCTCCTTTCTCCCTGTCCAGGACTGGCCGTGAGCTTGGGGCTAGGAGCACTGGCCGAGGTAGCCAAGAAGTCCCTGCCAGGAGGACATCAGCAGTCAGGTGAGTGAGCCATACTGTCTGGGTTCAGGTCCTTGCTAAGTGACCTGGGGTAAGTGGTGCCACCCCTGAGCTGCAATTTCCTCATCTGAAAATGAGGGTCATGATAATATGCTTCCCTTTTAGGGTCATTCTGCTCAGAACAGGACTAAAGCCACAATCAGGGCTTTGATAAATAGGAGCASACCATCCAAGAAAAGGTGTTAGCCATTGGGAGTTCCTAACTTTAAGCAGAAGAGAAAAGCTAAAAAAAAGTAGGAGTGCCTGTCGGGTCTGTGGAACTAGATGTATAGCATTTGTGGGTGAGATGCCTCAACAAGTCAGGGCCCTGAAACAAAAGCGAGGGTACATATTCAGTTTAGATCAAGACTGAAGCCAGGTGTGGTGGTACACGCCTCTAATCCCAGCAATTTAGGAGGCTGAGGCAGGAGGATTAAAAGTTCCAGGCCTCCACAATTTAGCAAGCCTCTATCTCAAAATACAGTATAATAAAGGTCTGAGGATGTAGGTCAGTGGTAGAATGCTCTTGGATTCAATTCCCAGTATCACAGAAAACCAAAAGAAAACAATACCAATATAATCAGACAGTGTATTCTCCCGTGTCTGGCTTCTTTTGTGAGAGATGTCTGTGAGCGTCTGGGAGGGGAAGCACATTGAGTTTAGGCATGTGCCTTATTAGAAACGTCCCAACTATTTTCCAGAGGCTTGAGCCAACACCCTCCCGTAAGCAGTGTAACCTRTCTTTGTGAGCACTTGGTATCTCCATAATAATAAATTCATATTAGCCGTTCTAATAACCATGTRCTGTGCTTATTGATTATTTTTTTGATTGTGATACTAATGGTTGTTCTCTCCTCCCCAGAGGGCGGCTCCAAGCTGGGCTCCAGCCCTTTCCTGTCAGAGGCCAATGCTGAACGGATCGTGCAGACCTTGTGTACAGTCCGGGGGGCTGCCCTCAAGGTTGGCCAAATGCTCAGCATCCAGGGTACAGCTTGACTGGCAGCTCCTGACCCCTGACTTGACCTCCACCCCATCCCCACCCACCAACAAGCCCAAATTCAGATACTCACATGGACCCCTCCTCCTCTCTCCTCACTGTCCCCTGGTCCTGCTGTCTCCCAAGACAACAGCTTCATCAGCCCCCAGCTGCAGCGCATTTTTGAGCGAGTCCGCCAGAGTGCTGACTTCATGCCCCGCTGGCAGATGCTGGTGAGTGCCTGTGGGAGGGGCTGGCAAGGGGGCTCGATGCTCAGCACACACCTGCCCCTCCCTTAATTGCCCTACTCCCTGTCCCTGGGCCTCAGTCTCTCCATATGTAAAATGGGTGTCACCAAAGTACACACCTCATACACACACCATTGTGATTAGGTGAGAGGATGCAGAGCACTTTATTCAGTTGCAGGCGGGACTCAGCACTGTCAAGGCAGCAAAGCACAATAGTTAGGGTTCAGAGCCCATCTCTGCCAGTCACACATGTGCTTTGATCTCTCTGTGCCTCAGTTTACCTTATCTGGGAAATAACAATAGTGATAGGCACACCTGTGTCATGGGGTTACGTAAATTAGTATGTAATTTGTWTACTCGAGCACTTAGAACTACCCCGTCACACCCTGAGTGGTAGACAAGTTTTAGCTGTGATTATTACTTTTTTTTTGTAATGAAATATCTGTAGCTAGGCTGGCACAGTCTATTGTGCCACCTGACACTGAGTCAGTGCCCAGGGCACGGGCTGTTCTGTGGCCTCCAGAGTCTAGCTGTTGCAGTCTTCAGTCTCTGTTCTGGTCACTACTGTGCGATCCTTGGTAGCTGTTGCCTCTCTGAATAGGATTTGGCCCACAGGACGCTCTTCTTGATCATGTTAATATTCAGGTAATAATATATAGTTAGGAGTATAATAAAGGATTATTATCAATCTTAACTAAAATCAAAGCGATTCCCAAAACTACCTGCACAGCTTAGGAAGTGTGGGCTCAGGAGAGCAGCTGGGCAGGCTTCTCTCTGAGCTTCAGTTTCCACACCTGCACAGAGGGGTAGCAGCCAAGAGCTTCCCCAAGGTTGTGAATACACCAGGCCCTCAGCATGGGGAGTGACCTCAGCCACCCAGAAATGTGAAATGATTGTTTTGACCACTCCCCACAGAGAGTTCTCGAAGAGGAGCTGGGCAAGGATTGGCAGACCAAGGTGGCCTCCCTGGAGGAGGTACCCTTTGCTGCTGCCTCAATCGGGCAGGTGCACCGGGGTTTGCTGAGGGATGGGACAGAGGTGGCTGTGAAGATCCAGGTGAGTGGGGAGGCTGGGCAGGGTGGGGTGGTCACCCTGCTGTCCCAGAGCAGTGACTGCCAATCCCCCTTCCTTCCCTCGCAGTACCCAGGTGTTGCCCAGAGCATCCAGAGTGACGTGCAGAACCTGCTGGCTGTGCTCAAGATGAGCACGGCCCTGCCAGAGGGTGAGGCGCCCACTCTGTCCCTGACCAAGGGAGAAATGCCCGAAGAGAGAAAGCGGGGCTGGCCAGAGGGCRAGCACGGGGAGGGTGGGGGTGTGGTGTGCACACTAGTGTGTAAGCAACAGGAAGGAGGATGCTGAGCAGGGAGAGTCCAGAGAGCAGAGTATGTGGCACAGCCACAAAGAGAYGAAGCCCGGACCAAAATCCCAGAAATACACAGGGTGATCAGTGTGGGGACACCAGCTGTAGGCACAGAAAAGCCGCAGAAGCAGAAAGGGAGAGCGAGCAGGACAGCTTGTTGTTGGAGCACAGGAGATGGTGCCTGCAGAAGACGGAGCAGGAGGCTCGTGTGAGAGAGGGAGCGCAGGAGGCAGGCCTAGAAGGGAGAGGCAAGGAGAAATGTGGGAGTGTGAGCACAGTGCACTGCCGTGGAGGAGCTGCCGTGGAGTTGGGGTGTGCATGGGTACATTTTRTACCCAGGGGAGACCACAAGTGGTGCGGTGGCACATGCCACTCTGGAGGCTGAGACAGGAGGATTGCAAGTTTGAGGCCAACCTGGGCAACTTAGTGAGACCCAGTTTCAAAATAAAAAGGACTGGGGCTGTAGCGCAGAGGTAAGTGCCCCTTGGTTCAATCTGCAAAAAAAGGATATGACTTAATGATAGAGTATTTGCCTATTTTGTGCCAGGAGCAAGGCCTTGGGTTTTCTCTGCAGAGCACGTGCGTGAGCGCGCGCACACACACACACACACACACACACACACACACACACACAGACCACAATTGTGGGAAAGATAGGAAAAAGTGCCCAGAACGTGATGTAGGTGAAAGATCTGGGGTAGAAGGTGTAAGGGACAGAGAGAGGGACAGAGGGAGGGTGGCATAACTGGCCAGGGAAGGCACCTGTTCCTGGGAACCCCAGAGCTCAGGCAGGGGACGCAGGCTGTGGCCTTTCCTGACTGACATGGCTGCCTCTCAGGCCTGTTTGCGGAGCAGAGCTTACAGGCCCTGCAGCAGGAGCTGACGTGGGAGTGTGACTACCGTCGGGAGGCAGCTTGTGCCCAGAACTTCAGGTGAGCTAACTCCTCTGAAGGCCCCGGGGGCCCCTTSCTTCCATCCTTTTTCCTTCCTTCATTCCTGCCCAACATGAGTCAGAAATGGATGTCCCCCAGCCTCTGGCAGCTGGAACCCTGGGGTTTGACCAGCAAACTCTTTTTCTTCTATTTCTCCTTCACGTGTTCCCTTGTGTCCTCTGTGAGTGTGAACAGATCACTTCTCGCTGAGTGTCAGGATGTGGATCCACTGTGGTCTGACATAGGTACTTAACATACCCACTAGACTACCAAAGTTTTTCTTGTTTGTTTTTGGTACTGGAGATTAAACCCAGGGGTGCTTTACCACTGAGCCATGTCCCCTGCCACCCCCCCCTTTTAATTTTGAGTTAAGTTGCTAAATTGCTGAGGGCCTTGCTACATTGCTAASGTAGGCCTCAAACTTGTGATTCTGTTGCCTCAGCCTCCTGGGTCACTGAGATTGCAGGTGTGTGCCATGGCGTCTTGCCAGACTGACCAAAATTGAACCATTTGGCAGCATCAACATTGAAGAGGATTGGACTTCAGAGCCTCCCTTACCCACTGTGGGCAGGAGGAGATATTGATAGAAGCATTTTTGTACAAGGGATTGAACCCAGGGCATTTTACTACAGAGCCCTTACTACATCCCCAGTCCTTTTTGTTTGTGTGGTGCTGGGGATTGAACCCAGGGCCTTGTGAAAGCAAGGTGAGCACTCTACCAACTGARCTATATCACTAGCCCAATCCCCAGCCCTTTTTATTTTGAATTTTGAGACAGAGCATTGTTAAGTTGCTAAGTCTGACCTCAAGTTTGCAGTCCTCCTATCTCAGCCTCCCAGATCACTGAGATAGAGATGTGTACCCTGCTTGAAACAGCCATTTTGGAGAACACTTTGGCACCATCCAATAAACCTTTGTATTCACACCTTCAACCTAGCTATTGCTTCTTGCTGAATACTATAGGGATACTCATGCCATTATACACTATCAGACTTTTCTAGAATTCTTAGAGCAGCATAGTTTCTAAGATCCCCACTATCAGACTTTTCTAGAACACTTAGAGCAGCATAGTTTCTAAGATTCCCAAACTGGAAACAACCCAAATATTGAATCTATTCAGCAGGGCAGATAAACAAATTATGATGTATTCATCAGTGGCATAGATAACAGTGAACATGAACAAACTACAGTTATATAGGACAATGTGGCTATATCTTGGAATTTTGGTGATGTGCAACAATTAATGACACCCCCCCACACACACAGTGGGGCTCACACATTTACTGAAGGTCTACAATGTACCAAGCTTAGTAGGCAGGAATCAGCAGAAGGCAGTGTTTTGGGACATGTGTCCCAGACTCAAACAGGAATGGGATCCAGTCTTGGGTAAGCCCTTACCAGACTGGGCTGCTTCTATACAGGACCTCAGAAAAGTGTCCTCACTGGATGGTAATAATAAAAGGGATTTGTCCTAGCCAGGTGCGGTGGCATACACCTGTAATTCCAGCAACTCAGGTTGCTGAGGCAGAAGGATCACAAGTTCAAGGCCAGCCTTAGCAACTTAGCAAGACCCTAAGCAAATAAAAATAAAAAGGGCTGGGGATGTGGCACAGAGGTAAAGTTCCTCTGGGTTCAATCCCCAGGACAAAAAAAAAAAAAATGGACTTGTGCTGATTAAGTGCTCAGCACAGGGCCTGGCTCTTCAGAAGTGGTTCAAATATCAGAAATCTTACAAACAAGGACAAACATATCAGCTTGAAGCAGGGCCTTGAAGATGGGCATGCAAAGCAGGAGGAGGAGGCAGAGCACACCCCTGTGGGATCTGAGAATACCCTTCTCCCACAGGATTCCCCAGGGCCCTTAGGGGAAAAATCCACCTCATTCCCCTAGCCTCTGCCCATCTGCCTGGTCCTTACTCTCCACCAAACCACGTGTCCTCAATGAGAGGCTTCACTCATATTTGCCTCCCAACTCTTAATTTGACACATTTTTCTCAATCTATAGTTGTCTTTTAGGGTGTGAGCTCTGGTTGGGCAGGCCAGCTCTGGCTCAGTCACTGATCTTCCCCCAGCACTGGGCAGCACAAAAGCAGAGAAGGATTCCTTCCCTTTATTTACCAATGTTCAGAGTACAGCCCGACCTCACATCCACAGGGGACATATTCCAAGACCCCCAKTGGATGCTTGAAACTGGATAGTCCCAAACCCTACGTCAGCTGTGTACACCTATGGTAAAGTCTAGCTTAGGCGCAGCACTTTCTGAAGCAACATGGAGCCATTAGTCAAAACACTTCTATTCAAATCTTCCACCCACAAATTTATGCCTTTTCTATCTTAACTAACTACTTATCATGCACTGTGGCCACAACTTTTACAGTTTGAGGTGTTACAGCAAAACTAACATGAATTTCTTTTTTCTTCTTCACAGTTTCACAGATTTGATCTTACCATAGATCTTAGCAATTTCAACCTACGATTTTTTTTCTTTCCTTATTAAGTCAAGAGCTTTTGGCTCAGAGAAAAGCACTYTATACTTCTCTTTGGCATATCTGAAATGCCATTATCACTCCTGCTTTGGGGCCATTGTTAAGTGTTACTTGAACATAAGCATTGCGATACCATGAAAATCAATCTGATAACTGAGATGGTTACTAAGTGACTAACGGGCGGGTAGTATATACAGTGTGTATATCCTAGACAAGATGATGATTCATGTCCCAGGCAGGATGGAGTGAGATTTTATCACACTAATCAGAATGGTATGCAGTTTGAAACTTGTGAATTGTTTACTTATGGAATTTTTCATTCAGATCATAGTTGACTGCAAGTAACTGAAACCTTGGGAAATTAAACCACAAAGTAAGGAGGGACTCCTGCCAGTTGGGGTGGTGCACACCTGTAATCCCAGCAACTCTGGAGGCTGAGACCTGAGGATTGCAAATTCCAGGCCAGCCTGGGCAATTTAACGAGACTTTGTATCAAAATTGAAAAAAAGGACTGGGATATGGCTCAGTAGAAGATTGTCCCTGGGTTCAATCCCCTAGTACCACCAAAAAACATTAGGGGGCACTCCTGTAGTTACTCTTAAGGAGTGACCTATGAGTATTACTAAAGATACTCAGTGGTCTTAGAAGATAGATATTCAGTGACGATCTTGGGGATGAATTAATAAAATGATTTTTAAATAGTAGTGCATAAGCTAAATACACTGAGTTTATCCTGGGACAACCAGAAGTCAGAGAAGGGTTTCCAGTAGGGAAGTGGTAGATGATCTCCAGCAATACCCGGTTAAAGGACAAGCTATTAGGCTACAGAGGTATTTGCTAAATGTCAGTCTGGTYAGGTATTGGCTGTCACCCAGGGCAGACCAAGGCCAGAGTAGCCCAGGAGAGAAGGRAAAGCTTAGAGAAGAGCTTCATGAAGGACATCTCGGAGGCCTGCTCAAACCAGGCCTCAGGGTCCTGAGCAAAAAAAAAAAAAACTTCATTCCTTCCCTTCCTCCTGCCATAGGCAGCTGTTGGCAGATGACCCCTTCTTCCGGGTGCCAGCTGTGGTTAAGGAGCTGTGCACAAGGCGGGTGCTAGGCATGGAGCTGGCCGGAGGTGTCCCTCTGGATCAATGCCAGGGACTGAGTCAGGATGTCCGGAACCAGGTAATTGCCTTATGGGGCAGTAGAGAGGGACAGGCCCTCGCTCCCTCTTCAGGCCAGGGAGGACTTTGCACAGGGTCACGCCCGTTGAGGTGTCTTCTCCCTACCCCAGATCTGCTTCCAGCTCCTGAGGCTGTGTCTGCGGGAGCTGTTTGAGTTCAGATTCATGCAGACGGACCCCAACTGGGCCAACTTCCTGTATGATGCCTCCAGCCACCAGGTTGGTTCCTTCTGGTGAGAGTGGGGGTACATTAGCTGCCATCACAAATATTCCCTGATATTTCAGCCAATGAACACACTTGTAGTTCATTGCTCACGCAGCAGGCTGGGATGGTCCTTCTGAGCACAGTGATTCAGGCCACGCTTCTCCCCTTTTGTGGCCGTGCCTTCTGCTAGGCCTTGCCATGTTCTGCTTCCAGTGGAAGKCGGGGGTTGAGAGTCTAACCTCCTGCCTACCTGCCTTGGCCAAGTGACGTGGCATTTCCTCTGCCATTCCATTGATGATGCCCTAGAGGAATTAGTGCCACAATGGGGAAGCAGAGTGACCACTAGGACACTAGTGGTGGTCAGGGCTGGAATGACGGGGACTAGGGAGGGAGATGTGGGACTCCAGGGATATGCCTGACCCAGCAAGGGGTAAGACAAGGTTTCAAAAAGGAAGTGCCATTAATTCTGAGACCAGAGAGAGAAGAAGACAGCCATGCAGGGAGTAGGAGGGTATAAAAAGGCTTCAAGGTGAGAGTTTAGACCTGCAGATTTTTTCTGTTTGTGGACACATCTTTGCTTTCACTAGAAGTTGCCCAGTTGACTCTCCAAAGTGGTCTGTCCCCAGAGGGATCTTTTCCAAATACAAATCTAGCCACAGTTTCCCTTCCTCARGCCCCAGGGCCCTCCAGATCAAGACTGAGCCCTTTACTGAACATCCTGTGGACCAAAAAAATAAAAAAATAAAAGTTACCATTCAGGGTGGCTTGGAAGTATGGAGTCCAGAGGCAAAGAGCCCTGGAGGCAGCTGGGCAGGGACCCTAGCAGGAGCCAGGAAATCTGCRGGAGGGAGAGATGGGTCCTACCTGCCCCCATGGGGGTGTTGGTGGGCTCYAGTGTTCCTCTTACCACTCTTCATTCCCAGGTGACCTTGTTGGACTTTGGTGCAAGCCGAGAATTTGGGACAGAGTTCACAGATCATTATATTGAGGTGAGGAATTGCCCTGACCCTGGGGCCTCTGAAGGTTCAAGGTTCAACCCAGCCATTGAGGTAAAGGGGTAAGAAGGAGAAATAGAGGGTCTAGAATGAAGAAATAATGATACTATTAAGAGCAGCTATTTACCAAGCCCTTAATTTTACATCAGGCACTATTTTAAGGATTTTACGTAGTAGACTGATTAGAAACCATATAGCAATTCTATGCTCAAGACCACTTTTAGCCCCATTAGAGAGCTGGCTGAAGATACCAACAGACCTGGGAGTCACACTCAGATGGCCTGGGTTCAGAGCCCATGTTCCCAACCTGTACCTAGCCCCCCTTAGGAGAAGGGTCCATGATGGCCATCTGGGCCACACCCTCAGTGCCCAGCCTGCAGTCCCAGAACTCCCTGGTAGCCTGTGCCCCACATCTATGTCSCCTGTCTCTTGCTGATGGTCAGTTTGTCTCAGAGGCCACACAGAACACCGTCTCATTAATTAGTTGAGATTGAACATTCAGCCTGGGTCTTGGAATCATCTAACCATCAATTCAAACATTTTCTGGCACCTTCTCTATGCTCAGGGATAATACTGGACACAATAGCCACCCAGGTCCAACTTAGGTCCCCATCTTCATAGAGTTTACTATTCACTGACCAGACAGTAAGGACCCAAAGAGATCGGGGCTGAGCTAGAGGAAGTGCAGAGAACTGTGGGTGCCCCAGAGGGGGGTCTGACCTGCTATGGGGGAATCAGGGAAGGCTTCCTGGAGGAGGARACTTTGGAATTGGAGACCTGGGGGATGAGGACAGCCAATCAGGAAGAGGCTGGGTATTCCAGATACACATGTGCACAGTCAAGAGGCAGCAAAGCATAGCTCCACTGGGACAGTGCTTCTGGACATCAGTGTGCAGGTAGAGATCCAGTTAAACCCTGGCGGTCCTGTGAAATGCAGCTTGTGGTCTGGATTTAGATGTAAGATGCTGCATCTCCCACAAGCTTCCAGATGGTGTCAATGTTGCCTGTACAGGGACTTCATTTTGCGTGGCAGGCCCTAGAGGACCAAAGGGAACTCAGGTCTGTGTTTGGTTGGGGGTGGGAGTGTGGAGGCAAATTACTCCAGGTCTCAAGCCAGTTTTGCAGCTTATACTTTAGGCCTGTGCCCYGGGGAGCTGGGAGAGACTGAGCAGGAGGGCCACAGTCAGAATCGGAGAACTCCCACTAACAAGGGGTCTCTAAGACAGTGCTGTGAGCCCAGGAGGGTGGGGAGAGGGGCAGAGGAGCCACTGGGAGAGCTGCCTAATGGACAGTCCATGGGAGCTGACCAGCTGGAAGTCAGGAGAGGGAGGTGACTGTGACCAGCCCATGGCACTGCCTTGGGAATTCCTGAGGCCACCCTTGAGCTGGTAAACACTCCCCCACCAGGCCTCTTGGGGCCCTCTCTGCTGGGCACTTGAGGCCCCAAGCCAAGGCCTCTCTGTGTAGTTGGAATATCCCGCTTCCCACCAACACCTGCCGCTGCCCCCCAGGCCTACTTAGCCTTTTCCAGTTTACAAAAGCCCTGTCACATGGGCCCCTGAAGACCAAGACCTGACAGATGGTCAGACAGGCATGGGCAAGGGGAGCTGAGACAGAATAGAACAGCCAGATGAATCCCATGTTCCTCCTCCCTGCAAGAAAGCAACCCAGCAGGGGAGGGCTGAACCCAGGGTCCATCTTCTATACAGCAGGGACCCTCGCAGCCAGCTCCTAATAAGAAGACTAGCTCAGGATCTGTATGATGCGTCCTCTGTGCAGGCACAGTGCTGAGCCGAGCACTGCACGGGGGGAACAGTCCTTGACCTCACAACAACCTCATGAGGAAGAAACTCCCCATCCCCATCTCAGGTGAGGAAGCAGAGGCCTAAGGGCAAAGTGGCCTCCAGCAGGTGACCTGTAGGCAGAGCTGGGAGTGAACCCAAGCAGGCTGGTCCTGGTGGGGCTGGGGGATTCTTGGCCTCCCTGTGTGAGCACATGGCTGGACAGGGCCTTAGCTCCACACACTGATTTGCTAAAGCAAGGTTCACCAAGGCAGCCTGAGTACCAGGCCCCACGGCTAGTGCAGCTACACCCAGCTGGGATCCCTGTGCCCACTGGGCTTAAAATCTAGTGCAAGAGATGTAGAGATGGCATCCTGGAACCTTGGACACAGTTTGGGGTCACAGTCACATCCTCGTCCAGTTGTATTTGGACCCATGACACTCTCCCCTGTGCCATTTCATTATGGTGGCCTCCAGGCAGCTCTGCACTTCCAGCCAGATGCGCAGAACCCCTAATCAACTACCTGCCAGGCTCTAGAACAGTCTTGAAGGGGACACCGAAGGGCAGAATGGGGAGGGAGAAGCTTTCAGATGAGAGGGAAGGCCCAGGAAGGTGAGAAAAGAGGTAGACCTTGGTTGGCCAGGCTGAACCAGGTGGTACCTTTTCTCTAGAACTCCCTTAATCCCCCATTGGCCTCTGTTCCCTGCCCCACCCCCATCTTTCCAGGTGGTGAAGGCTGCTGCCGAGGGAAACCGAGACCAGGTCCTGCAGAAATCCCAGGACCTCAAATTCCTCACAGGATTCGAAACCAAGGTTGGGAGACATGGGAGTTACAGGGGGTTGGTGTCTGTTGGGGAACAAGTAATGGGGATCAGCCTGTCCCTACTGAGGAACTGGGGATGGTGGGGAGGGGARGGGGTCTATCTTTCCTGGGGAGAATGGAGATTATATGTCTAGGGGACTGGACAACTTTAGGGGATGCCTATCGATATGGGGGGGGGGTCTGGGAAAGAGTGGAGGATGCAGCTGCCTGACTACTCGGGAACCCTTGGAAAACAGGTACCACCTATCTGTCCTGGGGTTACTGCTAATGCGTAATTCAGGGCAGGAAATGGAGGGCTGCTTATTTAGGAGGCTCTGAGAAGAGGCCAGGACTGGGGTTGTGGCTCAGTGGTAGAGTGCTTGCCTAGCGGACGTGAGGCACTGGGTTCAATTCTCAGCACCACATATAAATACATAAATAAAGGTCAAGTAGAGTGAAAGTGGGCTGCTGCCTACTAGGGCTTTGGAAGGGGTGGAAGCTGCTTATTACTCTTGGGGGAGTTGGGGGCTTGTTTATACCTGAGACTGCAGGGAGTTGAGGTAGTCTCTTCTGGGATAAGTGAGCAGAAAGCACTGTGTCCATTTGGGTGCATCTGCTGTCCCCACCCCTAGGCATTCTCCGACGCCCATGTGGAGGCAGTGATGATCCTCGGGGAGCCCTTTGCTGCCCCTGGTCCCTATGATTTTGGGGCTGGGGACACTGCCCGCCGTGTACAGGGTCTCATCCCTGTCCTGCTGCAGCACCGCCTGTGCCCACCACCCGAGGAGACCTACGCCCTGCATCGCAAACTGGCAGGGGCCTTTCTGGCCTGTGCCCGTCTCCACGCCCACATTGCCTGCCGGGACCTCTTCCAGGACACCTACCACCGATACTGGGCCAGTCGCCAGGCACAGCCACTGCCAGCAGCCTCCTGACCAGAGGGGCCCTCCGTGCAGACCCTATGACAGCCTCCATCTGGGGTTCCAGCTCCACAGCAGGCCATCCCTTTCCCCTTTATCCACCCTTTTCCCTCTGTCCAGGACTGGGGATCTCCCCCTGTGCTTCTAATCTTGCCTGGTTCCCCTTGTTGGCTCAGGAACTCCAGGACCCTGGGGCTAGGGAACTCCCAACTTCATAGCTCTTCCCAGGTCTGAACTGAGCACCCAGGAACTCTAGGCCAGGGAACCCTTTAACTGATTTCAGCCCACATCTGAGGGAGCCCGTGGCCCCTGCATGCCTTTCATGGAGACCAGACTCATCTAGAGGGGRTGCTCCTCATCTCCACTTGGGACTCCCAAGATCCAGTGGTGGAGAGATGGTTGAGCTCCTCTCACCTTTGCCTCCCTCACGCCTCCACCAGCTGCCTTCTCTCTATCCCAGCGTGTGTATTGGAGGGTGGGAGTGGGGGGGGCGGGGTGAAACTTCCCTCCAAATAAAAGCAGCCCTCCCCTTTCCCCAGCTCTTTTCTCTGCGTTGAAGGGGAGGCGCTCACAGGCGGCCTCCAGGTGCAGATGGTCACCCCCCCAGAACCCCTTGTCTGAAAGCCCCAGCCCTGCCTAGGCCATCTGTTGCTGGGAACCTCCTTCTCCCCCCTACCCCCACACGTGCTGACCACCTGCTCAAGGGCTGTGGCAGCTGAGAAGCGCCCCTCCCAACACACACACACACACACACACACATCTCTTGCCCTCCCAGCTTCAGGCTCCCTCCCTTGCTTCCAGCAACCTCGCCTTTGCTAATGGGCCCTAATGCCCCTGCCAGCTGCTTTGCCAAGCGCACTGGGTGGGGGTGGGAGTGGGGACGCAGAGGCGGCCAGAACCGCGCCCAGGTCCCAGCTCCGCGCCCCAGCCCGGCAAGCCAAACTGATCGCGCTCCTGGATTCCGGGGTCTGTTCATTCCCCCTTCCCTTCATGCAAAAAGTGCCTCGTCACCGCTTCTGCCCGCCCCCGCCGTGATGGGAGAATCGTAGGGTTAGCAAGATTTGGGGACAGGGGGYGGCAAGTCGCCTCCTATAGCAATTCTTTCGGACGCAGAACTGAARGGGATCTGAGTCAGAGGTCACAGAAGGCAAGAGAACCCAGGCCTAAACGGACCGGAGGGAGAGACTCCGCCGGGCTGCCCAGTGGGCGTGGCGGGGCGGTGGCTGCACCGGAGAAGGCGGGGTTGTTCGGGCTTGGGCGTGGCCTGTGGGGGCGGGGCGGGGTCTTTTTTGCATATACAGCAGGCGGCCGGCCAATGGGCGGGGCCGAGGCGGGAGGGACGCTCCCCGCCCCCGGAACGGAATCCTCCGGGGAGCCGAGYTGGCTCGCTCGCGTGCATCCCGCACCATCCCCCGACCCCGGGCCGGGCCCGCGTCAGACCGAGCTGCCGTTGCCGCCGCCGCCACAGCAGCAGCAGCACTGGGGAAGCCGGGCCCAACTGGGGCCGCGGGAGGCGGGGGCGCCCGGGCCCTGGATGTCCCGCAGCGCGGCGGCCAGCGTGAGAAGGGCGGGCGAGGGGGGCTTGGGTCGGGGGCGGCGCCGCTGCTGATGTGGCGGAGGGTGGGAGGCGGCCGCGGCGCCCGGATGGAGTGAGGATGCCAAAGCTAGAGAGGGTGATCCTGGGTGGGGGTCTAAGAAGAGAACCCCACTAAATCAAACCCTGGAAGATGGGGGGCTTGGGCACAGGCTCTTTCTTGGCAAGGCTGTGGAAATGGGGATTCTGGACACAGATCACCCCAAATCAAGGGCAGGGGTACCGAGAATCTAGGTACAACTCCTTAGGCAAGGTTTTGGGGTTGGGGTCTGGGACACAGACCCCATATCAAGCCAAAGCCTCCAGGAGGCAATTGCAGACATAATCCCTACCCCTCCTTGCCAGAGGGGGTCTCTGAGCACAGCCACCCGCTAGGCAAGGTCTTGAGGATGGGGTCCCAGGTTACGCTTCCCCACCAAGCCAAGGCCTGGGGGATTCCAAGCACAGACTGCCCCACTGGCCTCAGAGGCTTCCTGGGCACAGACTCCCCCCAGGACTTGGACAGCGTCCCAGCACATCCCTTCTCAAAACAAGGTCCCTGTGCCTGGGACTCCATCCCACCCCACCCCACCCTGAATAAAATAAGGAGAATTTCAGGCATCCTCCCACCCCCGCTTGAACAAGGTCCCCTAGGCCATCCCCTTTGTCCCTAAGGCTGCCCAGCTAGCTGTCCAAGAGAGGCCCCACCTGCAGACAATGCGTGGCCTCCCCCTCCCAGACCGGCCCCCCCCAGGCTCCAAGGATTCAGGCTGGGCTGGGGGCGGCTCCCCTGGGACCCGGTGAAACCCTGTCTGTCTGCAGCTTCTGCGGTGTGAGGGCGGCTTTGTGTGTGGTACCTGGGGGGAAGGGGGGAAGCAAGGGATGGGGAGGTGGCTAGAAGTGTGACCCCATGTTTGTGTGACTGTGGCTGTGTGTGTGCATGCGCTGCAGCTGGTGACTGAAGAATCAGCGTCGTATGTCTGTATCCTTGTGCTTGTATGTAGTGGTGTCTGTGTGTGACCCCAGTATTTGTGTGACTATGTGTGAATGACAGTGGTTCACTGTGTAAAATCCTCTACTTTTTAGTCTGTTGGTGTTTGGGTGGGTGCATGGTTGTGATTGTAGAGTTGTGGCTGTGGTTATGTCTTTTGTGACTCTGTATTTGTGTGCCTTGGTATGTGACAGCATATGTGTTGTCTTGGGTTGGGCATACGTGTGACTGAAGAGGTGGGTGGAGTTGTGACTGTGTAAGTGGAGTTGTGTCTATGACCCCATATCAATGTGTGACTCTTCCAGTGACTGAGAATGTTATGGTTAGGCCTATAACTGATTTTATGTACATATGAAACACACTACTCTGTGTGTGACAGCCATACATCTGAAGTCACATTGTGCCTGTGTAACTAGGATTGTGTGATGGCACTGTGTGTGACAGTGGTTGTATGTTCCTAGTGACTACATCTAGCTGTGTGTGTAAAACTGATTGTGTACTTACAGTCTTGCATTATGATTTTGATTATGCATTTGACTTGGTGTCTAAAACACAGGCTATTGTGAAGGGTCATTTAATTGTGTGGATGTGTCTGTGTATGCTGGTGTCAGATACCTGTGTGGATGTTCAGTGGGTGTGTATGTGACTGTGGCTTGTTTTCCTCTATGCACGTAACTTGTATGTCTGTTACCCCAGGTGACTATATGTTCTTGTGTCCTAGTCTGTAAGAGTGTTTGTGTCTGTAACTGTATGTGTATGTGTGTGCACRTGCGTGTGATGGATCACCTATTTTTCAAGTCTGTGGTTTGGTTATAAAGCAACTGGACCCTGACTGTGTACATGGCTCTGTCAAGAACTGTGACTTTTATGTAAAGCCACTTATGAATGTATGTCTGGGTCACTGCATTTCTCTGTATACACTCAACTGTGTACGTGTGATGTAGGAAATTGAAACTGTGTTCTTGTCCCTGTGTGTGAGATACTGTGTATGTAGGTGAGGTTGTGACTCTGTGTGCCTATTCTCATGAGGCTGCAATGATATGTGGCCACATACTTACCTGGTAACTGTGTGTCTGCATGAAGAGAGACTGTGTTCATGATGATGTGACATGGTACATCTATGTGTGGGACATTGACCATGACAGATGGCTGAGTAACTTGGATACTATGCGTATACCACCATTTCTGGAATGTGTGTGGCTATGTCTGAGGGTGGCCGTCCTTGGGGATATTTGTTTCTGGGTGGTTGCATGCCATGCCTGGTGTGTGTATGTCTGTTTCTCTGTAGTGTACCGGCTGTAGCCATCATTATCTCAGTGTGTGGTTACTTAGAGAGGACCATTGTATAAGAGTTGCCATCACAGAAGACTGACAGATACGGAGACCAAGTGTGAGCATCCAAGAGTGTATATGAGTGACTGTGTGACAGTGTGTAACAAAAAATAAAAAATAAAAAAGGTGTGTTGGCGTGATGGACACAGTAGGGCTTGAGTGTCCATGTGCAGCTGTGGCTGTGTGGGACGTGTGTGAGTGTGGGCTTTTCAAGATCAAATGTGCATCAGCCTGTTTCAGTGCACCCAGATGTCAGTGTGCATCAGTGGAGACAGTGTGCATGGTTGTGATGGTGTCAGTGTGTGATTGACTACTTACAGGTGACCAAATGCTGAACTCTGGCTGGGTGTGATTCTGTTGGGGGGGCCTGTGATGTGGGTTTCTTGGGTGGGTGCCTGAGGAAACACAAGTGTCACTGGGTGTGGTTGTACATGTGTCTCCCTCATGGGTGTGCCTAGGCCCAGCTCTTTGTACGTGGCTGAAAAACAGGAGTGACATTATCAGTCACTGGTGTAACCCAGTGTCTGAGGTGGAGCCCATCACCACATTTGTAGACGAGTGTCCAGGGTAGAGCTATATGTATCTGCGAACATGAACATGTGACCAGATGTTCACAGTGGCAGCTGTGGCCGTGACTATTACGGTGTATCTCTGTGACTGGAGGTGTGTAGCTGTGATGGATGATGTCTGCGTGTAATTGAATGTACAGAAGTGTGACCAGGTGCTAAGGACAAGTGTAGACATGAGTGGGCTGCATATGTCTGACTGTATGTTTGTGTGTAGCCCTAGATACGTGTCTAGGACAAAGCCACTYCCCCAGCACCATCCCCTTGGGTATCAAGGGCCTCCTGAGGCCAGCACATCCCCAAGGGTGCCCACCTACTCATTCCTGGGCCCTTAGAACCAGGTGGCTGATCTCCCTGGTAACAGTTGCCATGACAACCAGGGCTCTCACCAGGGAGCCTGAGATGGAGGGGGTTGGCTGAAGTCCAAGGCAGGGTGAGGAGGGGACTGAACCCCACCCCAAACAAACTTCTCACCTTCTCCTCTCTCCCTTGGGCAGAGCGGACCCAGGAGGCCTGAGCAGCATTTGCCCCCAGCCCCCTGTGGGGCCCTGGGGCCCCCCGAAACCTTCAGGACGGAGTCAGGTGAGTGCCCAGTTTGGGAAAGGGCAGGGGCTGGTTAGGTTCCTGGGTCAACTA